TTTTTTGGTTTGTTATAAAAATCAAACACACGAGAAATCACAGCAACACAGTAGCCTACCTGGGCCAGTTCACAGTTCGCGGCAAGTCAATATTTTTACAAGAAGGACATCGACAGGACAACAGCCATTTCCATTTAGTGACGGGAAAATGGGTTTTAAGAGACTGATAGAATGCCCAAAAAAAAGAAAAAGAAAAACCAAAAGGGGAACAGCAAAGATCATGTAGGGCCAACCATAAATATCATAAGCGCCCTCCAGCCACCCTCAACATCAGGGTTGAGAAACTTGGATCGTTGGCAACGACTGTTTCACTGGTCGGTCTCAAAAGTCGCGAGAGACGAGCATAGATAAAAACTCAAAAAACAAAAGACACAAAAGCAACAAGGTGTCGGATGAAAAGCGGTAGCAGGCCACTCCTGCCACGGGCACTGCTGTAAGGTGACGCAACATCGAATCGTTTATCCTTCATTCAAAGTGAGATGTTAAGCAGAAACTGGACCAAGGAAGAGCTCTTCAGTTCACGTTACGGATAAAATGCCGCAATTCATTTTAGAAATACAAGAACTAAAAAAAAAAACCCCATGAAAAACAAACAAATCTCGCTGACATTCTGAGACACACAGAAACGTGAACACCTGTCCTAGTACGCATTGGGTCTGATTTCTACCGTCTTATCATCATAACTCCCCCCCTCCCCCCAATCCCTTCAAACCAACTTGCCCATCAGATTTGTATGGTGGACATTCTGCGAATATCAAAATCAAATTGTGAATCTATGCACCATATATGATAAAATAAGCAAACACCTTGTGTTTTAATAATTCTTTAATAATGTCCAATCCTGGTAGAGAATAGAGTCAGGGTATTTTAACAGACCAAAATCTATTTAAAACAGAATCCAATTGTCTTTTTCCGTTACAAACCTGCACAGTATCTATTTCCCACTCAAACTACACAGGAGAGATTAGTATTCTGTACTTTTTCAATTTAAAAAGAGATATATGTTTTTTAAAACAAGAACTTCAAACACCTGCTATAGCTAAAGGTAGGCCCATATAATAAGAGGTAGCTAGAGACATGATAAGTTGGAGGAAATTGGAACCACCCATAAATTGCTAAACAGCACAAAACAAAGAGGTCCGCTAAACGTTCACCTTCGCTTGTCATCCTGTGTGTGGAAAGATCTGCCTCTACCAGCCACTCCTTTTGTCGTATTTGTAACATGCAAAAATTAATTTTGGCATACACATCAAAGGTCGATGAAGATTCTAGGTTTCATCCTGAATTGAATTGTAAAAAGCAAATAAATCTTTTCAATGGCCGGAAATATTCAGTCTGTAGCTACGAAGAACCAGAAGAATACTTTCATGACACAGCTCAAATTTAATTAATTAATGAAAGAGGGGATGGAATGGCTCTGCAAATTTGAAAGAAACAAACATGTAACTTTGGTATTTTTAATATCCACGACGAGAACGAAAAAAGACAAAGCTAATAAACAGGATAAAGAAGCAGAGAAGAAGACTTCTGATCTGAGATAGCCAACAACTAATGAAGATATTGACTATAGCCCAGAATATATTCTCTTATAAAAACTACCTGGGGGAATTGTAAATGTGTAAAAAACTGACCTTTTTAGACTGGTAGACATGGCTTTGGTTGACTTGATGGAGGAAGGCTTTGAGACCGACGGTGATGGTACAGGGCGGGAAGAGGAGGGGGAGGGAGTCGCAGGTAATCCAAGGTCCTCCTCTTCCTCCCCTGCCTCTCTGGGACGACTCCTCTTGCGGGAGTTGCTGTTGCCGTTTGCCGTGGGTGTGGAGGATGATGAGGATGAACTGCGATCAGTAGACATTCTGCTTCTGCTCAGAGCTTCAGAACGTGAACTACTAGAGAGAGAGATAAGACAATGTTGGTAAAATATCTAATTTCTTCTGCTTGTGTTTTTTTGTTTTAGAAGAGGTATTAGGGCGCTCGCAACTGCATAAGGTCATATGAGCAGCGCCAAGGGGTAGATGTCAACAGAGAAGTCTTTACAGGGAATCAGGCTTACTCTGCTCGCCTATCTAGCTTCAACAGCACAAAGTCTGCTTCGACTATCAAGGCAACGCAGAAATAGCGGGTCACAAGAGCATGACAAACATACAATAAAAAGTAGAACAAAAATTATGACAGTAAGAATTAGGAAAGAAAAATCAGCAGTTCCCTGTTGCAGTTCAGGCAGTTATGAGCTGACATTGTTGAATCAGCCCATTTACAATTCTACAGTACATATAAGAACAAGTTAATTTCCCCCCTTTGGGAAAGGCCTGATGGCACTTCAGTCAATGGCACATTCCTAATGAGGGTCATGTTGGTTTCTGAGTCTTTGGGGATAGCATCCCGTCATGAACTTTCACCCCAATGCCAGGGCTTGCAGTTGCAGAGCATGAGCCCTCTCTACTACAGTTTTAGTGAGTTCTTTAAAAAAGGTTTCACCTTTTAACAAAATGTTTCACTTTTTCTGCTGAGCTCTAAAGACATGTTATTAATCTCGGAAGCAGTGACAATAGTGATTGGCTAAATGAGCAAGTGAGTGCGTTCACTGTGTCAATTCAAGACAGAAGATTTCAAAGTTATCATAATGGTTTCAACTAATTTTTCTCAACATTCAATTACATACTTAAAGAGTTGGGTGTGTGTGGGGGGAGGGGGAGGGAGGTGCTCAAGACCTCTAGCCCTTCCCTATACCCTCAACCCTGTCACTGATTCAAATGACACTATCCAAAGCTCCACCTATTTTAGACAACCACTCCTTTCCTATACAATGAGTGGTCATCTTGGACATCTTCGACTGATGTCATAGCACAATCAACACAACTTGGAAATTTCGGGAGGCATTTATTAACTCTGACTGTCAATCCAATCCAAGGTCTGAGGGTAACTTCATTCCAGCAAAAAGACAGAGATACATTTATTGTATTTTACAAAAATATCTTCTCCACAAAGGCACTGATTTCATTTCCTCAGGTTGAAAAGCAAAAAAAACGTACTCATTACACCACAGACAACAAGGCATTTTGTGGTAGCAGCCCGTGAAAAGAACAATTTACAAAAGACAAACAAACGGTACAACTGTAGCTTTGTTAAAAAAAAAAAAAGTCTTAATCACCAATATATATATATATATATATATATATATATATGTATTGGCCTACTAAAACCCAAAATTTCAATCAGACAAAAAGCATTCATTATAAGCCCACAATACATGGGACTCAACTACAACAGTCGTCATGTTCTTCTCTTTTCTCATCACTACAGTTTTCCTTTTTCAATTCAACGTTTTGTCAGTACAAAACAATTATAACAAGTGTACCAGTGACTTTTCTAGAAGTAGCATCCACTGTTCAATGTCTGTCATACTTTTGTTTGGGTTGAAAGAAAAACCTCTCAACATGATAAAAACAGCCTAATAGTCAATTAGTGATTGAAGAAAGAAGTTGATGAGACAGAAACAATAGAGGGTAGTGACCAAGGACCTCTCAGTGACGCCCTCCAACCATCTGTACACATAAAAGACAAGCAAGAAGTAACAGGAGCACTCTTCTCTAAGTAGTAGACTCAAATTAAATGAATAGAACTGATAACAGACTTTAATGCCCAAGTATCAAAATAGACCTGCCTCAAATAGAACAAAATTAAAAATATTTCTTTTGGTAGTAGAACCCCATATATATTGAATGGAAAATGTACCTCAGAAGAATATTTGAAATCACAAGGCAAGACAAGGTTACCAATACAGAGCTACTGATGAGATTACAGTTTTTTTATAATATAATTGGATTTCTCTGACAAGCAGCAAATATACTCGGCTGGCTAAAAATACATTACAGTACACTCTCACTCGCAGACGCTAAAATGGCAAAAAAATCTTCTACAGAGAACGAAATTTGTTTAAAGACAAATAGAGACCGACGTGTGTTCAAAGACAAACGCACAATAAGAGGCATGAAAAAAAAAAGAGCTGAACTATGCCCTTCCCATGCGGATGCTAACAAGCAACTTGAAGAAAGAATATGACTGGTTTCAAAGTGAAACTAAGTAGAACTATATTCAGAATAGAGACATATAAAGGACACAACAGGATACCCAAGATTGGTTGTTCTCCCTTTGCAACTCACTAGAAATAAAAACTACCTTCCATGCATTAGAAGCCTAATGAGCCACATGTGTCATCTTTTCAGGAGGACAAAGACCAAGAATCAATACAACACACACACCACGGTCTATAAACAGAGTCAGTAACATAACACTATCTAATTTCAGAGTTTTCAGACTCCTTTACTCTCTAAACTAACATCATTTGTGAGGCGTGCTGACAAAACGAGCTGCTTAGATCGCAATCCACAAATGGAGATATGGGCCAAAAAATCGACACTAGAATCGAATTTACAGATTTTCTATTGATGTCATATATATTCTTTATAAGTCTTATGCCTTTCATTACTTGATACTCATGAATTGTAAAAATTTCACCTAGAAGCGTGATATCATGTATCTATTTCCTTAGGGCTCAAATCCGACAAGAAACTCATTTTGTCAGCATGTTTCACATTTGCACTTGATCAGTTTCAAAGGTTAAACCAACCACTCAGTTTTGATGTTGTATGTCTTACAAATATTTATAATCTGGAGCAGGTTGGGAGTGAATGAAGGTAAAAAAAAACAGTGCATCAACCAATCACAAGTGGTACCTCAGAATCTCAATTGAAAGAATACACAGTAAGGAGGTACAGTACTTTTTCCAACAGCTAGCTGCTTTAAATTACTGAAAACTTGTCTTGTTTTTTTAGATGTAACCTACATTCCTCTGCTTGATTCTTTGATACACTTCAGAAGTGTCCTTGGCACTTTGTAACCACAAAAACAAACTTTAACTGCATGTGTGCAACTAGGCCATTTTCATAAAAGAACAGTTTTTTCCCGTTGTGGCCTTTTAATATATGGCTGGGAATTGCTGTTGAACATTATGTACTAAAAAAGGAAAACTTTGAAAAACAGCATTATTCAAGTGACATCATTTGAAAACTCCTTCAAACACACCTAGTGGCACAATAAAAGACAAAATATAAAGGCAAAAAGTTCCACCCCAACCTAATGCCATCTCGTACTTTGTACAATGTCTGCAGCTATCCCTTTGCATCCAAATAACTTAAACTCATTAGAAAAACAAAATAAATAGTAGTCAGTTCCATTCAACACATTGATCATTGAACTTTTCAACAACAGAATAAACTAGGGTGAGACATCTGTACACACTCACTTTTTTACAAGATCGCGAACCCAAGTAAACATCAATATATTCCAAGATGATTAGACGGGAAGGTACTTTGTTATGCTTTGTAAATTGTAGCAACCATAAGGACCCACAAGAAATTGTGATGAAAAAATTTGGATAGCAGTCAAAATACTGAGAGAGCTAAATAACGCTCAGGACAAATGGCACTAAAATTTCAAAGAACACACATACATGACCATTTTATGCTCTACAAACTTTTACTAGCTTCTCTAATCTCAAACAATTTACACTGTGTGACATCACCAATAGAATAGAATAGGCAGGCACCCAAATCCTGAAATCTCTGTAAGGCATCACAAGGCGTTACGATTTTTAACTGCCATTCAAAGCCTTAATCTACCTCTCCTTAAAACATAATAAACAGAGAACTGTTATTCATAATTAGACAAAGGAAATGTAAATATCCTAAGACCTGAATATGGTATCAAATTCACTGTCACTCCAACAAAATATCGAGCAACAGCCAGAAGAAAAAAACATGACTCATCAGTCTTAGAAATCTCTGAAAAGCCTCATTTACTTGTCATGCATTCATTTTCCTTAGCATCTGTAATCTTTGCAAAATATAACCAGACTTGACGCTAAAAGTTTAAAAAATGCAAACAGGGAGCAATGGTAGAAGGATGCAACACTGTTGTCTCTAGTTGTGAGAGTGAGAGTGTTATGAACTTCTATCATGTATAATTCTGTCCCAAAATTCACAATGACACCATGCCATATAATATAATAACTACATAACAAATGACCAATAGAAGTTGTGTTTTCTTGCTTTACTGCTCACTGAAAAAAGTAGACAGCTAATCTTAGCCTGAGCAACTGCTCTTTATTTCATAGCTACATCAATATAAAAACATATCAAAATTCAATGGAGAAGTAATGATGAAAATCAATAGGGCCTGAGGAGACCAGAGAAGCTTTCAGTGAAGATGTATTATGCGGCCCATGTACTTCCCCTTTTAGAAAATACATTTGCACAATCAGTATCAGTAGGCCTAATGAAAAGCACATTCTATTTAAAATGAGCCTAAATTCAATTTTACCATACATGTGCACAAGTGAGCAAACAATCTGAAATAATGATTATAATGAGCCGGTTTTGAATTTTTACGACAGTGTTAACATACACGGTTAAAATAGAGGGGTCCACTGCCTTACAAAAGCCCAGGCCCTATGACAGCTCGTTTCCATACGTGAGCAAGTGTGTGTGTGTGTGTGTGTGTGTGTGTGTGAGTGTGTGTGTGTGTGTGTGAGTGTGTGTGTGTTTGTGTGTGTGTGTG